CGCCTACGCGAGCGGCTCCTCGTCCTCCGACTCTTCCACGCGTACCCGCGTCTCCGCCTGGGCCAGCCCCGCGCACCGCGCCACCGTCCCCCCCGACCTCAAATACGCCCAGACCCAGACCCGCGCGTACGTCGACCACCACGGCGACCTCCACGACCCCGACTACCGCGACTTCCCCGTCCTCCCCATGCCCACCCGCCCCACGCGCTCCCACAACCAGCGCGGGCCCAGCGCAGCCAGCGCCGCCGCACACCGCTCGCGGAGCGCGAGCCGGCCGCGCTACTCGCCCTCGTACGCGCTCATAACCCGCCCGGAGTGGGAGCGCCATTGGGCGACGGAGCTGGATGGTGATGGGGCTGATGATGTTGATGAGGAGGACGAGGTCACGGACGCCGACTCGCAGAGCCACTATTCGCCGTTCTCGACCGCGTCGCGCGCGTCCCCGCGGCGCGCTGTCACGATCCACACGACCCAACCTTATACAGGCTACGCCCCATACTCGGACTACTCGGATTACCACGCGGACCCACAAACACTCCCGACCACGACACCCCCGAGCGGCTCACACGAGTCCCCGATTACTGAGTCACCTCTGGAGGATTCCCCGTTCGATCCAGATGAACTCGACCCATCACCGGACGCGGGGCGCAAGAGGCAGAAGCGGCAGAGCACCGGATATAGCTCCCTCTTGCGCAAGAGGCGAGCAACGGACTCCAAGGAGGACGCTGTGACCGAGGACAGGGGCGTCAGCGCGGACGCTGGAGCTGATGCCGACGTGACAACGGAGAAGGAAGAGAGACCACCGCAGAAGACGCGATTCACCGTCGCTGGTGCGCAGGGGGACGACGTGTATGTCTGCCGCCTCCCACTCTTATCCCCGTCTTTGCGTCCTGACCCACGAACCTCCAGGCCAACTTGCTCCGTGAGTCTGCAGCAACAATGGGCAGCGATCTCGTTGCGCATACGCTTCGGGCTCTTCCATGCCAAACGGCGACTCAGCGTCCGGAGCCGGCGGTATTCCACTTCGGACGCGCCGTGAGCCGCCCCGCGCCCCTGGTTGGTAGCCACGGCTCTCGTCGGCTTTCCGGACGCCGTCGCCTCCGCCACATCCCTGCGCACATGCCTCACCGTCGACCGAACTTCCGCATCCGGAAAATTTGCGTTACGGTTCATGCTCGCGGACGGCCCGCTATTCGGAATACCCGTCGGCGGTGCCACCCCCTGCAATGCCTCCTCGTTCCGGTTTCTCCCTCTTCTGTCTGTTTCAGCTATCCACTCTCACTCTGCCCTGTGCCTCGGACATCCGTCATCGCTCTCAATTGTATCAGCAGTCCTCCATTTTTCTTACGCTCTCGCATGCGACCTCTTTCTCGTTCATTTTTCTTTCGGCGGACGCCTCCCGCATCGACAGTCCACTTATATCGGACATACCTCGGTGATCCCACATTGATCAGCTTCACAACAACACCCTCACGTCTATCTCCCATTGCCCATTTCGTCCGTTACACGATCTGCCAGTGCGGCGTGCCACCCGAGGATCCCCATCCGGGGTGGATGCCGGCTAGCGATCGGCCACGTTCACAAGCACGAGTGTCTGTAGAGCTTTCCAATGGACTGCGCGCGCACCCCTGCATCGTCATACATGACTCAACGAACCCTCCAGCGGCCAGCGTCGTCCGTCCGATGTACACACCGCACGACTCGCATACATACATATGTACCTTCTCTATCCTTTCTGCGGCGGCGTTCTTGCCGGTTCTTCCTATCCTATCCCCATGCGCCCTCCCCCTTTGTGACCCGCGCTTGATTACGATCACGACTGTTGTTGTGCTGCACGCTCTGCACGCTGTTTACGTTTTACGCGCCGTCTGCATGCTGACGCATCGCTCTGTATCGCTCTCGTGCCCATAGACCCTGCCGGCCTCGGGCCGCACGTCCTCTAGGTCTGCGATGCCACTGTTTATCGATTGCCATTGTGCGTTTGTATCGTTCGCTAATCCTCGTTCACGCCCGCCTTTTCGCTCCTCCGCTCGTTGGATTGTACCGCCGGTCCTCGCTGTCGCCACTGACCGTTGTCGATCTCGCAGCCCCTGTCATCCCCGCTGCGCCTCCGGCCTCGCGATGCGTTACCTACGTAAGACATCGCTCTCTCCGTGCGGACTCGGCGATAGACGTGGAGTGGCCTTCTTCACTGTTCATCTTCCTTTGTAAAGCGGAGGTCGCCGCCGTGGGAGACTTTCCGGACTGGAGTACTCCTTCCTAGAGAGTCACGGACACTGATCCTTGGAAAGATAGAATGGGAAGTGTGTGGTTCGAGAATGTAGCGTGTTTTAGGTGGAAGCGAGGTGTATTTGAGTAATGAGTGTGTGGTGGCGACGAAGGTGTGGCTGAACGTTGCCTGATTGAATGTGTCAGTGTACACCGGAAGTTCTGCTTACACTGGAAGCTCTGCTTGAACTTTCTCTCTTACTAGACAGACTAAGATGGCGTGAGTCAAGCTTGACTCGATAATCGTCCGTCCGACCGCCTTGCTGATAAATTGAACCGCTCTCCGCCATCCAGCTCGTGGGCTGTGATACTGCGCGAGCTCTCGAGACTAGTATGAGTATGGGAGCTTTCCCGCAAATACATGCTCAAAACACAGGCGTGATAGAACACTCCACCATACGCAACACACTTATTCCAACTTTCCAGTAAACATGTCCAGCTAGTCATCCGAGAACACGAGATGCCGCCGCCGCCGAAGTGCAGCGTGCGGCTCCGAGAGGTGTACCATCTATCCCGAGATCGGCGGGTCTGATGCGCCCGATCTGCTCGATCCGGGCAGCTGCGTCTCAGCCACAACGCCTCACCTCCGGGCGTCTAGACGACCCCTCCCCGCGACCGACTACTGGCATGGCGCTCTCATCAACATCATCCTCGGGCTCTTCGCAGGCGGCTGCGACTGCGCACTCGTTCAACAAGATTCTGAACCAGTTCAAGCTGTCGACGAAGGTACGGACTGTGCAGGACGTCGAGGACTCGGTGCGGAAACTGAGGAGGTTGATTTTGGTGGATGGGATCCCGTCGGCTGTGGTACGTCGCGCGCCCTCCGGCCTGAAGTCGCGTAAAACAAGGGGGCTTACTGAGGACTGGATCTGACTGTAGGACCCTACACTCAGGCCACGGATATGGAAGATATTGTTGCGCGTACAGGACGTCTCGGCGGAGGAGTTCCTGCAGTATGTCGCGCGTGGGCCGTGCGAAGTGCGCGAGAAGATTAGGAACGACACGTTCAGGTGCGTGTGTCCTGTCCCCAATAGTGCTCCGTGATGGCAGACCTCTTCTCTGTTTCAGGACACTCGCGACGGACCGAGGGTTCAAGGAACGCGTTCGGGAAGACATGCTCGTGAGGTTGCTGGACGCGTTCGTGTGGCGGAATCACGGTGAGTCTAATTCTTTCAACCCAGACTAAATTCTCCGCCGACATATTTGTCAGACCGACAAGAGACACAGCAACTCGGGTTCACATACGTGCAAGGGATGAACGTCCTTGCCGCACCATTCCTCTACACCATGCCCTCCGAACTGGAGGCGTTCTTCTGCTTTGCGAAATTCATCGAAGAGTCCTGCCCGTTATATGTACAACCGACGCTCGAGGGTGTACATCGAGGTCTGAAGGTACGCTCATTGTCCCAGTGGTATGCCACCCTTGTCTGACGTATACATAGCTCCTCGATAGATGCCTCAAAATCGTTGATCCCGAGCTCTTCGCGTATCTTCGGTCCAAGAATCTCTCCGCAGAAATCTACGCCTTCCCATGTGCGTACTCTTCATTACCTCGCCTGGCGCGCGCTGATATTGAGCGTCTCGAACAGCTGTCCTCACATTATGCGCATGTACACCGCCACTCGATCAAGTCCTGCTGTTATGGGACTTCCTGCTCGCATTCGGCGTACACCTGAACGTTCTCTGCGTGATCGCGCAGCTCCTATTGATGCGCGACGGTGTCATGGCTTCGTCCAGGTACAGTTTCCATCCTCTCCGCCGACACCAGCCTGACGCTAACACCCTGCGAAGCCCCATGCGTCTTCTGCGTACCTTCCCTCCGCTGGAAGCGCTTCCCGTCATCGGCATCGCCGTCACGATGGTGCGTGACCTACCTGCAGACTTATATGACGAGCTAGTGCGGCATCCGTATGCGGTCGAGTCGTAGATGGAGCAGAGAAACCTGTGTTTTGTTCCGGTCCTCGCTCGCCTCTACTCATGCTGTCCTGCTTTGATTCGCATTGATTGGGAGGTTGCATGTATTGTCTGTCTCAGTATAACCACCTCATGTAATCTCTTGCGCTCCATTGCTATATAATGTATGATACCCATGCGTGATTTCCGTTCATACGTAGATCAGCTAGCAGATAACGTCGTACATATGCACCGGGATTCACAATCGTCGTCAGCTGCGCCTCGGTGTTCAGTCTGAGCCTGCGCATATCTCCTCAACGGAACGAGTTACGAAACGGCAACTTTCATCGTGTTTCGTCGATAACGCCCTTCACATGAGCCTGCACTTCGTCGCCACTCCTCCAGACGTGGTTCGGTATGATGAGGGTGTGTAATCAACTTGGAGACCTGCTCGGGGGCGACAGTGTCTCAGTCCGGCTCAGGCTGCGCCCCCGTAAGTAGTACAGCGACCCGAGCCAAAGATCTTCCATCTCAAGCCATCCTTCTCGCGCTGGCAGTTCAATCCTCCAGCCAGGCTCCTCCCCATCCGCCCCGGGGGGTAGAGGGACTTAATCCGAGAACGCAATACTATGCTTTTTCTCGATCTTAAGTTCCGTATCCTAAAATGTCTTAGTTGCTATAAGTCACGTAAGCATAGTATTGTGTTCTCGGATTAAGTCCCTCTACCCCCCGAGGCGGATGGGGAGGAGCCTGTCCTCGAGCACCTTCCACAGGCCGGTACGGTGAGAGGACCGTGTAAAAATGCAGGATATGTAATACCTAGTGAACCAATTGATAATGCCGGGATAGCTCAGTTGGGAGAGCAGCAGACTGAAGTGGTTGCTCCGGTTTCTGAAGGTCCCGTGTTCAATCCACGGTCCTGGCATTTATTTTTCGTGTATGGAGTCTTAAGGTGATGTTATTACGGTAATAACCCCAACTGCATATTCTCATGTTGCATACACATAAGTAGCGGTTGCAGAACTAGTCTGAGAGTCGCTATCATGTACTCGCAGGGTGCTTATGGGCGGGATAGCTCATCAATGATGCATGAATGACCCAATGATTAACAAGAAGACGATATACTAGCGTACAATACTCATCCCCGAATGTCCAGCATGATATACAAAGACGTGTGTGGGTAGGCTTCCAACCATCAAGTGCTATTTCGATTATTATTGTCGCCGTCGCAATTCGCGGGCGAGTCGTACGGTAAGCACAAACGCAACCGTTGCGGCGACCCCGCCGAGCCTAAGCCAGACGAAGTCAGACACGTTGCGCCCGGATGGTCGTAAAACGCACCTGAACACGATTGCATACGAATTCGGCGCCGCAGGCGTAGCAAGGCTCTCTCGCGACTGAAGACCAGTGGCTGTTGTTGCGACCTCTCCCGGCGTCGCGGTGCCGTTGCCCGGGCTCGCCGCGTCCGAGTTCTTCGGCGCCGCACCATCGAATATCGCGAAGATGATCGACGCAATGCCCGTCATGACGAACTGCGGCATGACGACGAAGACGTTATGGATGCCCTGTTCAAGCAGCCCTCAGACGGCGTCGGTCACGGTGAGCGGGCCAGAACACCTACAAGGATGACCCCCGCCTTCGCCGCCAATCCGCCACCTTTCTTCGCATCGTCGCCCTCCCAGTCTGACTCATCGCCGGTTACCTGAAGATGGCTCGCCCTTGCTGAGGCGTTCGACATGAACGCGCTCCTGCGCTCCTGCTGCTGTCTGCCGGCATCCCGCTCGTGGTCCGAGCCGTCCATTGATGCTGACGACCGGAACGAGCGTACCTCCGCCTCGAGGCCCTCGTCTTCGTCTTCCGGGTCGGCGACGAGGAACTGACGTTCCTCGTCAGGGGATGCAGGGCGTGAACGATGTCGCGTGCGCGTGTCTTCAAGCATGATGGAGGCGGTGTCGCGGTCGTCTGCGCCGTCCTCTGTGAGGATAGCCTCCGCAAGCTACGACAACGTGAGCAGGCTAACCGATAGGGGTAGAGCGGGCGACATACCAGTGAGAACGGCGCCCATTGTGTCATAGACCAAGAGAAACCAGTGATCGTGGTGAAGAGGGTGGCTCCCCATACAGTCGAGTAGAAGCTTTGCGATGACATCGGGATGTCGTTAGAAGGATTATCAGTGCGGCAAGCCGTTGACACTTACAAGGTCGCCGCCATACATGCGGCGAAGACGATATGCGACACGGCCCAGAGCGTAGCTAGGTGTATCTTGATCCGTTCGTAAATCATCATCAAACGGCTCCTGTTGAGCTTCCGTTCCACCGCAGCCCGACTCTTGGTCGCCTCGCTCACGAAGAACGGCAGGAGCACATTGCATATAAGGCTGAGTACAGAGCTGTAGAAAAGAGCACGCGAGCCAAGACGCGTGGCTTCTGCATTTAGGTCCGGGTCGTCCTGCGGTATAGAGGAGTGAAGATGTTTGTGTAATTCCCCAATGAACTCGGTTGTGTAGAAGAGCACGGGGAACCAACCTATCCAAGCACTGGTGAAAGGTTCAGGCAGGCTAAGAGCTGAAGTGGAGGTAGTACCTACAAGAACTGGATTATACACTGATCGGGATCGTTAATTCGGGTCCGTATAAGTATAGTAATCGACGTACAATTTGACGTATAACAGGCGGCAGATTGCGGGCATTGTTCCAAATATCCTTCAGCTCCTGAAGGAAACCCCTTCGTGCGCCTCTGCGGAGCCGAATTAGATAGTGAAACAAATATGTGTAATAATCGCGGCGTACTTTGTAGCCACAACGACCTTCTCCTTGGTGCATATAGCAGTGATAGCGTGCATGGCAACCAGCAGGAAGGAGCCGAGGACTGCCAAGACCTCTAGCTCGGTGCTCCCAAGAAAAGGGAAGGTTGCAGTAAGGTCTATATTCCCTCTTGTACGCGGAGAACACTCAATTGCAATACGTGCAATGTAGATGAATGGCACGAACATGAAGTAGCCTGCAACGCTTCCTATGCCGAGCATACGGGCCGCCCATGCATTCCCGTCTGCTTGATCTGATGAGGGCAGCGTATCTACAATGAGTGCACGATCCACTGCCTGCACTGTAGCCGATTTAAAGGGTCACCTCGACGTAACAACTAAAGTTGCAGTAAGTCAACCGACCTGCGTTTATTGAGAAATCGATTGAGAACAGAGCGAATATTGCAAAGACTATTGTCAGAACATTGTTCTTCGGACGGTGCGAGACGTCAGGCTAAATGATCGCTACGGAAATGGCGTAAAGGCGCACCGCTATAGAGGCAGACGGCGTGAATATGCTGGCGAACGGTCGCGTGAAGCCGAGAAGCAGCATCGCGAAGACGCATATGCATGTTCCTGCAAACATGTATGGTCTCCGGCGTCCAAATCGAGACTTTGAGTTGTCAGCCAGGAAACCTAGTTCCGACACTCTAGCAGATGAAAGTCACGCGAAGTGATGATGTATACCGATGAGAGGCTGCACTAGCAACCCCGAGATTGGGCCAGCAAGAAAGACGGTCGCGACTGCAGACTTTGAGAGGCCGAGGGATATAAGATATGGTGTACCTTACGCGCAGACTTGATTCATTCATTCCAGGTGAATGAGGTAATCACAGAATACTCACCATACGACATCTCTATTGACCAAAACACTTGTACACCGAGTAGCCCTATGGTCAGCGCGGGCAGCTGCAGCCATCTTGGTCCAAGTACTTTCGCCACTCCCGTCAGTTGAGCATTGCTGTGCTCGCTGCCTCCCTCTGGGGCGAGAGGGATGGCTGCGAACCCCGTCATGGCCGACCACCGTGCGTAGTGCTTTAGTCTCAAGATGTATATCGCCGAGTCTCAGCCCCAGAAGTATCGCAGTGTGCTGTGCAGCAGGAGCTGGCTAGAGGAAGGAGCATGGATGTGATGACCGCGCGCGCGCTCATGACCCAGCGGTGTCAGGAGGGCCGACCGACCCCTGCCCGGTCCCGGCGGTCCGCTCATCTCGATCACTGGAGGGATCTGGAGACCCTGATCACTCCGGGGTCGGCGTCATATGCTTTCCCTGTGATTGGCCTCCATGTCCTTCAGTCCCATAGCCGGGCTCTCACTCACATATTTATTCGACTCGTCTGCCACCCATCCTGCCCTGCAGCCTCCGGTGAGCTATGCTACACTTGCACAGGCAGCAGAGGTCAGTCTTGCGCTCCGCGCGCTCTCTCCACTCTACGGCACGGCGGCGACGAGAATTATTCGACCCTCACAATGTTGAGCGGGCCTCGGACGAAGTTGACGTCTGCATTGTAGGCGGCGGCCCCGCCGGGCTTAGTGCTGCCATTAGGCTGAAGCAGCTCGAGCAAGAGAAGGGCAGGGAGATCCGTGTAGTGGTACTGGAGAAAGGAGCAGAGGTCGGTGAGTCACTCTGAAGTGCAGTGTACATTGAACCTCTACCGTCGTGTGCGCGCGGTCTAGCACGACTTTCACCGCGAACGGTGCCCTTCAACTGTTTCCCTTCATCGCCTATCTTCATACCTATACTGTTCGGTGCTTACTGAATGACTTAGGTTCTCATATACTTTCCGGTGCGGTCATCGAACCTCGAGCTTTGAATGAGCTCCTTCCGGACTGGCGAGAGCGCGAGGGTCATCCCCTCACCCAGCCTACCACGCACACCTCAATGCGCTTCTTTACCAAGTCGTCAACCTTCCGCATACCCCAACCGCCTCAAATGAAGAAAATGGGCACTTACATCGTCTCGCTCTCGCGCTTCACGGCATGGTTAGGCTCAATCGCAGAGGAGCTTGGAGTGGAGGTCTATCCCGGCTTCGCAGGAGCAGGTCTGGTCTACGGGCCAGACGAGAAGAGCGTACTCGGTGTGCGCACGAACGAGGTAGGACTCGACCGCGAGGGGCGAATGAAGGACTCCTTCGAGCCCGGCATGGAGTTCCATTCGCGCATCACTCTGCTCGCAGAAGGCGCACACGGTTCGCTGTCAAAGGAAGTCATCCGACGCTTCCGCTTGAGGGAGAACAGCGACCCGCAGACGTACGGCATGGGCGTCAAAGAGGTATGGCGAGTGGACCCAAGTAAGTACCGGCCAGGAGAGGTGGTACACACCATGGGCTGGCCACTCGACTGGAGGACGTACGGTGGCGGCTGGGTGTACCACATGGCGGACGGCCTCGTGAGCTTGGGTTTGGTCATTGGGTTGGACTACGCGAACCCCTACATCAGCCCGTACCGGGAACTGCAGGTAAGGAACGTGATTTCGCCCCTCCCGGCTTGATTTGATCTTAACGCCTCCCGCAGCGCATGAAGCACCATCCATATTTCAGGGACCTGCTCTCCGGTGACGCGACCCGAATAGCCTACGGCGGCCGCACGCTGAACGAGGGAGGGCTCCAGTCCCTTCCTCAGCTGCACTTCCCCGGCGGCGCGCTCATCGGGTGCTCCGCGGGGATGGTGAACGTCGCCAAGATTAAAGGCACGCACAACGCGATGAAGAGCGGCATGCTCGCCGCGGAGGCCGCGTACGACGCCCTCTCCGCGCAGGACGAGGGCTCCCCCTCCGCCGCGCCCGCCGACATGAGCGCATACGCGGCGGCCTTCCGGGCGAGCTGGGCGCACGCGGACCTGTGGGAGGTGCGCAACGTGCGGCCGTCGTTCAACACGCCGCTCGGCATCTGGGGCGGCGTCGCGTACTCGGGCGTCGACACGCTCCTCCTCCGCGGGCGCACACCGTGGACGTTCCGCAACACCTCAAAGCTGAGCGACGCGGCGCACACGAGGCGCGCGAGCGAGTGCCCGCCGATCGAGTACCCGCCGTTCGAGCCGCCGCTGAGCACGGACCTACTCACGAGCCTCGCGCTGACGGGGACGAACCATGCGGAGGACCAGCCGGTGCATCTGCGAGTGAGA